CCATAAAAATCCAGAATAATCCAGATTTCTGGTTCTCCTTAAAAAAAAAAAAAAAAAACACAAGATCTGCTAACACAACAACTGGCTAGCACTGAGCAACAGCTAACCCTTTAGACAAGGCCTGCTTTTGTTAGTTCACCCAGGTCCCCACCACTCCCCACTGCCCTTTACCCTGCTTCCCTCATTCATTGCCAGCTGGCCCCTGAGGTGAGTGCTAATGAATACGTATTATTAATATAATAATAAGTTTTTTTAATAACAGCTTTATTGAGATATAATTCACATACCATACAATTTACCCATTTAAAGAGTACAATTCAATGGTTTTTAGTATAGTTGTAGATACATAAAACCATCACCACAGTCAATCTTAGAACATTTTCATCACCTCAAAAAGGAATCCCGTATGTACTCTTTAGCTATCATCCCCATTCCTCAACCTACCCTTAAGCCCTAAGCAACCACTAATCACTTTGTCTGCATAGAATTGCCTATTCTGGACGTTTCATAAAAATAGAATCATGTAACATGGTCTTTTGTGACTGGCTTCTTTCACTCAGTATGTTTTCATGATTCAGCCATGCTATGTCTTACATCAGTACTTCATTCCTGTTTATGGCCACATAATACTCCACTGTATTTAAATAGCATATTTTATTTATCCATTCAGCCATTGATAGACATTTGGGTTGTTTCCCCCTTTGGTTATTATGAATAATGCTGCTATGAATATTCACCTACAAATTTTTGTGTGGAAGTATGTTTTCATGTCTCTTGGGCAGATACCTAGGAATGGAATTGCTGGGTCATATGGTACCTACAAAGCGGCTTCACCATTTTATATTTCTACCAGCTGTGTATGAGGGTTTCGATATCTCCACATCCTCGCCAACACTTGTTATTTTTTGACTTTTTGGCTGTAGAGTAAGTTGTTTATAAGTGTTCAATCATAATATGCCCAGATTTTTAAGGACTTCAAGATGCTCTTATACAGTGACATCAAATTTTAGACTTGAAAGAGTCCAGTTCCAGAACTTTTCCCCTATTCTGCTCATCTTTCATGTAATGAGGGGATAAGAATACATGAGCTAAACCTCCACCCACAATAACATTTTACAGAAGTTTGCTCAAAAAGATCAGAAGTAGATTTTCCAAGCACTCAAAAAAACAAAGTCCCTAACGGGGATCCAGCACTGAAGTGAACACGTATTCCCATCAAAATTCATTTGGAATGCCTCCTCCACAAACGTTAACTTCAAACCATAACAGCAAACGTGAGAGTTCTTCATCTCTCATTTTTTATAAAAGAACCAAGATGTCTGAGGTTTTCCCACTCAGAATCTACTGCTCTAATTCTGCTACGGTAGAAGAGAAATGGAAATCTGTATTTCAAATCAAGTGCAAGAGCACAGATCTACTGCCACAAACATACATAATGCCAGACTGGTCCCTTGTCCCAAGCCAGAAGCAGAATGCACTGTGCAGCCTTTACCCATTCTGCCCACCCACTCTGCCCATCACTGCTGTTTATATTCTCAGGACAGCACTGACAGAAGGTCAAGCAGCAAATACTACCAACGTGTTTACAGCATTCCAAGACCCAACCAAGATGAGGGTCTAAAATCAGCACCCAGTGCCAAGGCCACCCAGCACATATTTTCCAAGAGTTAAAAATGGCATCTTAGCCAGGAAGGAGGGTGGGCCATACAGCACCTTCTGAGATGGAGAATTACTTTCTGTTTTTAGGCCTTAGTTCTTATCAAGTTCTGCAGCACCGAGGTCGGGCCTGCCTCCCTAAGGCACTAGAGTGAATGTGTTCAAGGACTTTAGACAGAGTTGTGTTGTTGTCAGGTGCCGTCAAGTCAATTTTTGACTCATAGCAACCCAATCTGACAGAGTAGAACTACTCCATAGGGTTTCCTAGGCTATACTCTTAACAGGAGCAGATCAACACCATCTTTTCTCCCTCGGAGTCACAGGGTGGGTTCTAACCGCCAAGCTTCCGGTTAGCAGCCCAGTGCTTAACCATTGTGCCACCAGGGCTCCTTCAGACAGAATAAACCAAAAACCAAACCCACTGCTGTCAAGTCAATTCCAACTCACAGCAACCCTACAGGACAGAGTAGAACTGCCCCATAGGGTTTTCAGGGAATGGCTGGTGGATTTGAACTGCCGACCTTTTGGTTAGCAACTGAGCTCTTAACTACTGTGCCACCAGGGCTCCACCATAGGGTAGGAGGTTGAAATCCAAGGCCACTGAAACCCTGCCCACACCCTCCATTTCCCTGTTTAATTACAGGGGGTGTTTCCAATTCAATTTAGCACATCTTTGTAAACATTTAGTCCTCATCTACTATGTGCAGGTGCAAGAAAGCACACACACATACCAAAAAAAACCCGTTGTCATTAAGTCAATTTTGGCTCATGGTGACCCCATGTGTTACAGAGTAAAACTGAGCTCCATAAGGTTTTCTTGGCTGTAATCTTTACGGAAGTAAATGGCCAGGTCTTTCCTCATGGCATCACTTGGGTAGAAAACACAAAAAAGTGTAAAATACATTCCCTGTAGTAGGGGGTTTAGGTCCTACCAGAGAAAATAAAAAAAAATTTTTAAGAGCAATGACTATCTTGTGCTTTTTGTCTGTTTAAGAGCCAAAAGGGCAATAATGCTACTGCAGTTCTGAGAGAGCATCCCCAGGGGCTAGAATGTTTTGGTAGGTAGGACTTGAGCTGAACCCTTGAGGAAAAAGGAGTGGAGCTGAAGGAAAAGGGCATCCCAAACAGGGGCAAAGGCTCTAGGACTCAGCTGGCGAGAGGATGGGAAAAAATGTGTACAGAATGTTTAGCAAACCACTTGGTTAGTGGAGATTAGGATAAACCCTGGGGAGGTGGACTGGGGCCAGCTGGGCAGTAGCGCCTTGAATGCAACATTAGGCCATCAGATCTCAATTTCTTAAGCCTGCAGCAGTTCCTGACTTCAGTGTAGGATCTCCATAGTCTGTGAAGCTGTCTGTTGCCCATAATAGTTAAAAGTGATGGAAGTTTACAGGTGAATTAGATAAAGACAAAGACGTTAAAGTGTTACAATAGTCTCACTTAACTGCACTTAAAAACATCAGGGGCAGAAGTACTGCTATTACCTACAGCCATATACTATCATGCTAAATCAATACCAAATAGTCATGTGGTAGCAAGACCATTAAGTAAAGACAATGAAAGTTTCTGGATATTCCGTATTTCCTTAGGGCAACAGATCTAACACAGGTTTAGGCTATGGACTGACTTAATGGAGCCTTGAGCCCCTTATAACGGTACACAAAAGTCAGTGACCTTTCCTAAGGAAAGAGCCATCTCTTTCTACATCTCCCAAAAAAAAAAACCAAACCCACTGCCGAGGAGTCAATTCAGACTCATAGTGACCATACAGGACAGAGTAGGACTGCCCCACAGTGTTTCCAAGTAACGTCTGGTGGACATGAACTGCCAACCTCTTGGTCAGCAGCCGAACTCTTAACCACTACGCCACCAGGGTTTTCTCTACATCTCCAGGAAGTGTGATATCCTAGATGCCTAACTTACAGTGATTTTGTTAAAAACCAGCAAGAATTTAACCCTGGGGCTGCCTTACTTTCAAAAGGAAGTGTTAATCAATGTGGGGGAAGTTAGCTTGGGACAATTTTGAGACGCCCCTAATATTTTAGTATTTCCGTACTTTCTTCTCAAGAACTGCCCAAGGAACTGGTCAAAACTCATTAAAGATTCAAAAATGGTCACAAGAAGGGCAACGAGATAAACAACTAAAGAATATTCAGCTTCTCCTCTCATAACTATAATCTCAGGTGAAAAGCAACAGGCCACCAGCCTCCTCTGGTTTCAGTATCTGCTTTCCAAAAGGACCTCCTGAGAAGGGAGCTGGTTGATTTCAAAATTAAACATTCTGGGGTGACAAGATCCTGTTCCAAGCACAAAGTACTGCTGCTTGCCTTCCTAGCTGCCTCATGCAGGCTTTTTGGATGATCACATACAAGAAACCTGTGTGGAGAAGCTAAGGGATCATAGGAAAAGATAAATGTGTTTTGGACCTGTCAGAACTGTTTTAGTACCGTACACCTTTCCCTCCTCCCACTCTCGCAGAGGCAAAGTAAACTTGACAATCTGTTTTCATTGGGCAAGATAAATTTAGTCCTGTTAAATCAGCAGTTCAATACCATCCACAATAACAAAAACAAGTTTCAATTCTTAACACACTCCCTGTATTTCCTGTATCTCCTGATGAAACTGGTGGAAAATCTCTCTAGGCAATAAAAATCAACCAAGTCATTATCATAATATTCGCTTTCTCCTAGAGCAAAATGAGGAAGACCTTATCACACTCCAAAAAGTGGTGATCGAGAACCAAAGAAATTAAGTTTCAAAGTAAAATTCAGACATCATGGACATTTAACCAGGCCTTTCAAGAAGAAACAAACGGGTACTCAGCTCCGAGGAGCACAGGTGGCTCCGAGTGGGTCTCGAAAGGAAGGCGCCGGGCAGCCACGCAGAGACCCTTCACCTTGCCAGAATCACAGCGCCGGACACCGGCCTGCCTGGCTTTCTCCTACTTCAAGTCTTAGTCTCAAATGGTCTGAAAATCACTCGCAGGAGTGACGTCTAGGAAAGAGGTACGTGTATTCCCACGCGGAGCAACACAACGCCCAGATTCAGGCTGGCACTGGACACGCTTCAGCGTTCTGGGTCAGCAGAGCCCCGGGCTCTGTTTCCCGCTACGCCGCCGGCCGGCACTTAGTGCAAGGCTCTCCGACCTCAACTCCGACCGTCCCTTCGGACTCGGCGCCAGCATCTGGGAAGCCCCGCGGACAGCCTCTCAGGACTCTCAAGCGATGTCTGAGTGATGCTTGGCCGATGCTCGGGCCCCGCGCCCGCCCGCTCCGACCCTGCGCCCGCCGCCGCCCGCCCCGCGTCGGTAAGACCGGCCTTTCAGCCCGGCTCCTGTCACTCACCGGCCCGGCCTGGACAGCGGGCGCCCACTGCTCCCCACGGGAGCTGGGCCCCCCGGGCCTCTTGGTTTCGGCCCGCCCCCTAGCAGGCAGTGCAGGTGGCTGAGCCCCGCAGCAGCGGCCCCTCACCGGCCGCTCCGTCCAGCTCACGGCGCTGCCCGCTGGGTACGGATCAACAACAAGATGGCGGCCAGCCGAGGGGGCGGGGGCCGGGCGTCATAGTAACCAGGACGGCAAAGAACCCGCCCCTAACTCAGGTTGTTCCCAATCAACGGCCTCTGCGCCCGCCGCTCTGAAGAGTGCTTCCCGTTGACATGCCGACCGGTCTGTCAGTCAGAGCCTGCCCCTCTCGGCTCTTGCCAATCGCCTGGGACACGTGACTGTGACGGCACGAGTTGGCGCGTGCGCGCCGTCCTCCGAGTAGCTAGTGGAGCCCTTGTCGGCAACTCCGAGGCCCTAGCGCCCTTGTTCTTTCTGGGTGCGCGGTCCACCTTCGGGGCCGCAGCGTGTTTTCACACACGCGCACATACCCAGTAAATGCCCTTTGTGTGCCATTTGCCTTTTTTTGTTGTTGTTGTTAAATCACCTGCCATAGGAGGCGGGGAATTGTCCCCTGTTCTTTGGTGAGGAAACTGAGGCGCAGAGAGGGGAGGCTGGGCCAAGGTCACACTACCCCTGTTAGTAAATGCATTGAGTCTCGCCCCTCCTCCTACTGGCTCCAGACTGTAAGCCTTCATCCCAGCGGCTTCCCCAGCTTTGCCTCTGACCAATCCTGAGGCGCAGGCTTCTGTGCTGTCCACAGCAGCCCTTGGCTCTTTACCCACGCTGTTCCTTCTGCCTGGAGTTCTGTTCCCGGAGCAAGCCCTGGCGCACAGCAGGCACTTCCTCCTCTCTGCCCTAAAGCATCTTGTGTTCCTATGGCAGCATATTATGCCCTCGACTGTCACGACCTGCCTCCCAGGCAGCCTGCCCAGGACTATGAGTCCTCGGAGTCCAGTTATCTCTGGTCCCCCACACAGAGCACCTGGCTTGCCTCCAGGATTAGGAGCCCGGATATAGACACACTGCCAGGTCCACATCCAAGTACCTGAACTAGCCAGCTCTGTGTGTGACTTTTGAGTCTTATCCTCTCTGAGCCTTGGCTGCTGTATTTGTAAAATGAGGGTAACAGTCAAGCTCCTCAGAGATGACTGTAAAGATTTAATGAGCCCTTAGAGCAGGGTAAGTGCTCAGGAAAAGTCTGTCTGCACCCACTTCCTGTAACAGCATGCTCCCAGGTTGCTGTCCCTGAGGCCTGCTCTGATGCTCTCACTTTAGTGAAAGCCCTGTGAAGCATGTTTTTCCTTCACAGAAGGCACTCAGTTTCTATCCCTCGGCCTGTTACTCCACAGTCTGGAATACCATAATCGGCTCAGGAAGTGAGGTCTTCCAGTGCCCTGAGAGGGTTCAGGCCCATAGACTCAGCAGAAGATTGATACATTGAAAGAACCTAGGGACGCCACGTAGCCCTGCTTGGCGCAGTGGTTAAGCATTTCAGAAAGACCCTCTGGGCCCCAGCCTGCGTTTAAAGGTAGCCTCACTCAGAGAGTAGGTCCTCTTGGAGAGCTGGCAGTAGTCTAAGACCTGATGGCAGGCTAGGTATGGAGCTCAGTGGGACTTGCCCTCCTGCAGATTACTGTAGGCCACCTGGCTATGTGCAACAGCTCAGCTCAATGCCAGAAGCATCAAGGCCTGAGTAACAAGAACAGATAAGGAAGAAATGGGGACTCCCTCTCAGAAGGGACTGCCATCAACCCCTCCACGGCTTGCCATGCCACAGGATTTTCAAGTCTGCACCACCCCTCACTCCAGTGCTAAAGTTCCAAATCCTTCCCAAGAAAATCCACAAAGTCAGCAAACTTCCCTGGAGGTTGCTCAAACAGCAAGAATGTCTTCCTCTCTGTGGGAAAAAGAAACTCCTGGGCCCTCCCCACCTGCCACTGCAGGTGGCCTCCGAGGGAACAGGCAGCTGGAGGCCCCCTCAGTCACTGACAAGGATAACAGCTTCTTACCTCAGTGGAGCATCCATCAGAGCACCATACAATGCCTTCTCCAAAGAAAAATAGCCCTACTACTCCCCAGAGTGTGCCCACAAGGTAGGGAATTCTCCAAGTGAGAACAAGGAATCTCAGATCTCAGAGCTTCTCCCACATGTACATTATAAGGCTAGGCCTTTTCTGTTTGTAATTTTGTTTATTATTGAATCAACTTGAAAACCCAGCCCATGAGCATGTGAAGAAGAAATTCCACTGGTAGTGAGGCAACTGCTTGGCCTCAGAGCCAGCGCTGGGCTCCCGTGCATGAGTTGAACAGGTAATCTCTGCCTGTACCTGAGCCCAGATGGTGATGAGAAAAAGAGAGACATACTGGCTCAGCAGAACTGGCCCCCTCTGCTGAAAGCAGGGGAAGGCATTTCAGGACCCTTGGTGTGCCCCTCCCCCTTCTGTTGGTGTCCAGCTTGTCCTCTTCTTCCCTCCTCATCTCAGCAAGTCCTCTGAGGCCTGGCTCAAATGCACAGCAAAGTTCCTTGATTCTCCAAAAATGGACCCAAAAAATAGATACCAGCTCTCCTAAGTGTCAGATCATTATGCCATAATTCACTAATGACACTGGAGTAATCTGGGGGTCTCCCCCTTTATCCTCCCCTCCCCGTGGGCAGGGACCAGACCATGTCTGGGTCATCTCCTGGTACCAAAGGCGTTTAATCAACATTGGCTGAGGGCTGAGTCGGGGGGAACGTTGGCTAAAGAATGAGGGGGGAGAGCAGACCTTATTCAGGGTAAGAGTATAAATAGCAGACACCTAGAGTTAGAAGGAGATATGGAGATGGGATGAGGAAAGAAGGTGGGCCCAGGTAGAGAATGGTTTGGAAACAGAATGACTTACAGAGGTCTTGTGTGCTGCCATCAAAAGGCTGCTGTGGGGAAGAAAGAGAGAGTGCAATGACTTGGACCTTGACGAGCCCCCGAAGGAACTAGGGGTCCACCTGCCTCCTCCATCTTGATGGTGCTAGTGTGGGTGCTCGCACAGGAGCAGCCACCCACCAGGATGGGGGCACCCTTGGCAAGGGTGAGGAATACTGTGGAGTAGCCTCAGTGCCCACTACTCGAATTGTGGGTTGCCCTACCAGCCTCATGATGCTGCTGGGTGCCTGGGGTGTCTCTATCCTTGGTGCCTCCATGAACCCCTCAATGGACCCCTCAGCTTCCTGGATGCTGTGACAAAGTAGGAGCAGAAGTACAGGATAAGGCTCCGGGCCCCAGCCTGACTTTAAGAGGTGGGCTCCCAGGGGCTGAGGTGAATAAAGGCAGCTGACCTGTTCAGCAGCAGATCCTGGGCTGGTTTGTTTGGTGTGTGCAACAGCTGGGCCACCCTAAAATGCCAGAAGGAGGGACCAAACAGTGAGGGCAACAGGCCTGCTGGCTCCAAGAACTGGCATCATTTATCTGCCCCTTTATATTGGGGATAGTCAATGTGATGCCCACATTTTACCCCACCTTCCCCTGTGCTCAGCCCTGTGACCATAAGGAACACAGAGTCTACAGGAGCAGGGCAGATTTAAAGTGGGGATCAGGGGACAGGAATAGGGGTTAATGCTCAATGGATGACCGAATCAGAATCTCTAGCCCTGGCCTCCATCCACACCTGTACTAAGGAGACCAATGGAGACAGCTTCCTCCCAGTGTCTCTCTGACTCTAATCTGAAGACCTCTGGAGGGAAGGGAGCCCTCTTCAATATTATCAGTTTGTCTGCCCCATCAACTTGGGCATTGTCATCAGATCTTAGGTGAAAGCACCTATCCACTGCCAGGGTCCATAGGTGGACAGAGAGAAGGCAGGAAGTGCAGGGATAAGAAGCCTACCCCATGAGGAGCCAGCCCAGAGCAAAGAGGAGAAGGGCACCAGTCACTGTCAGCACCACCACAAACCAGGGCTCTGGCTGCCAGAAAGCCTCTGTGTCTGTCACAAGCAGGGGTGTCATCGGTGAGGGCATCTGAAATGGAGGTCACAGCCTCAACACTGTCCTGCCAAACACCTTGAGTATCCAGCCTTCAAACCTCTTCATGGGCTGGGCCACCCCACACCTCATATTCACTTTTCTGTATTCCCAGGCTCTTTGCACTTACAGTTCCCTCTAGAAAGCCTTCCCCCATTGCTCCACCTGGAAAACTGGGTCTCATCGTCCAAGGTCCTCTCTCCCCACACCAACCCCCAAGGGCCTGAGGCCCCTTCTCACTGTGGTTCTGTGGCTGCTGGTCGCCACTGTGCTGGCCCTCCAGGGAATTAGATGCACAATGATGGTGGCTGTGGTGCTGAGGTGGGGGATGGAGGGCCCTGCATCAGCCACGTGGATCAAAAGCTCGTAGGTGTGGGGCTGTTGTGACCAGGGGGGCCCCGGAACAGGGTCATTATGCACCAGGATGGCGCCTTGCAGGCTGAACCGGCTCTGGGTATTCCCTGTAAGCAGAGTGACAGGAGGGGACCATTCCTGGCCTTGGTCTGCCCCTTCCTCATATTCTGGTGGTCTCCCATGGCCCTTACCTCCCACAATGCTATAGGAGAAGGTGAGGCGCTGTGGCTCCTGGGGGATCCGGCATGACACCTTGGTCACCTCCACACTACGGCCCGGGGGTGTGTGGATGGTGAGTTCCTGGAATGGGGGCTCACACTCAGGTTCATGGTCATTCACATCCTGCAAAAACGCAGCCAGGTTAGGGGTGGGGGCAACCCACTCTCCAAATCACCAGGCCAGCCCCTCAACCTCCTCCCACCACAGCCAGAGTCCAAGTATCAGGCATCAGGCTCCAAAACTTTCCATGATGAGGCCCCACCCCTCTCTAGTCAGCCAATCAAGAAAACTGCAGCACAAAGTAGAAAAGCAGAGTGCCAGAAGGAGATCTGAACCCTTGTCATTCTGATGCTTTCCAAGGGCTTGGGGCTGAATTACCTCAACTTCGATCGTAATGGTGCAGGAGCCTGAGCGGTGGCAGGTGGGGTCCTGGTCCTGGCCATGGTCAATAAGCTGGACAGTGAACCTGTACATCCTCTGCTGCTCATAGTCCAAAGGCCCCAGGAGGCGAACCTCCCCTAGAAGGGGTGGCCATGGCCTCAGCCTTCAGAGTCAACTCTGGCCCCACCCCTCCATCCCAGCCCTGGGATGGGAGTACCACTGAGACGGTCCACAGTAAAGGTGGCAGGCCCACCAGAGGCATAGTACTCAATGCTGTCATGTGGGTAATCCATGTCCTTGCCCACCACAGAGCCCAGCAGTGTGTGGGGCCTTGCATCCTCACGAACCCGGAACGTGCGTGGGGCACAGGTTGGAGAGAACTCATTGATGGGTGTCACCGTCACCAGTACTGGCACCTCAGCTGTGAGCCATGTGGCAGTCAAAGAGCTGGCCTGCAGTGCCCAGCCCTGCCCTAGGGGTCTAAGGTGGGGGGAGGGGTGGCGCACTCTTCCCTGCTAGGGGTCCAAGAGAGGAGCTATGCCCCACCCTAAGGGTCTGAAGGCAGACAACTCTGTTTTACTGGTTTCTGCGGAGAGAGGAACCTGCCCTGGTGATCTACAAGGTGTGCGGGGGTGGGAATAGGGAAACACAGCCCGGTCCTGAATGTCCAGGCAGGGGGCTTTGTCTGAGGTGACACGGGCCAGCCTAGCATGGTCACTTACTGGTCATCAGGGGCTGACCATCATCAAACACCAGAATGGAGGCTGTATGCTGGAAACACGCCGCTGGAGTGTCACAGTCCAGTGTGGTGTTCACCTGGCCAGAGGGGCCAGAGAGTGAGGCCCAGACATGGCCTGGGAGAGCTCTGAACAACATTTAGCTGACTAAGGCCAGGGCATCCGCAGATCAGTCTACTCTGATCCTCTTTTTGGCCCTTCCACCACCACCACCACAACCTCTCCCCCAACTAGGCTTCCACAAGCCCTTGGCCCACCGGCCCCTTCCTGCATCAAGCACCCTGCATGTGGGTCTGGGGGCAAGGGCTCGTCACCTCCAGGACCCTGTCGCGAAGGCAGAGGCTAGCCGGGCCGGGAGGGCTGTGGAACCACAACTGATAGTCGAGGGTGGCGCCGGCTGAGTCAGGGTCTGTGCAAGTGAGGGTGTTCAGCACAGTGCCCACGGGTGCGGTCTCAGGGATTTGAGTCCTAGGAGTGGAGGGCGGAAGGCAGGGCGGGAGACGGCCAGGCAGTGAGCCGTGGTTCTTTCCCCAGCAGCCCAGGTAAGGCTCCGGGTACTCACACGAGCAGCGCCGGGAGGCAACGCGGGGGCCAGCGGTTAGCCGACCGCACGTTGACGGTGAGATCGAGCTCGGCGCTGGCCCACGGCCGGAGTCGCTCAAAGGCCTTCACCTTCAGCCTGGTGACCTTCGCATCTGGGACCCGCGCTAACTCCAGCGGCGCGGTGAGGCGGACCACGCCGTCGGCTGGGCGGGGTGAGGGGTGGGGGACTCGGAGTTCGGCCCCATCCCCCAGCTCGGCCCCACCCCAGGCCCCCCGCCGGTCAGCTGAACCGAGAGGGCGCTGAGCGTGGCTTCTCCTGCAGCCTACTCCGAAATCCGCCTCTAACTCTGGCCAGGCCCGCAAACCAGAGGCGTAACGAGGTGGGTGGGGTTAGAAGGCGGCATTTGCCCCCGGTCGCAAGCCCAAGGGGGCGTCAGACAGGGCTGCGGATCATCCCCCGCCCTAGTCGACGACGCCGGCGGGGGCGGGGGGGGGCGTTGTGCAAATTTAGAGATTGCTCCCTCTGCGCTCGTTACCCGGCAAACCGAACCTCAAAGCAATCCCCGCCCTGGCCCCAGCCCCGCCCCGGTTTCTGACGACGGCAAGGAGGTAATGCTGCAGAGGCAGAAGCATCTCTGTTTCACCCTCCCCTCGCCAAGCCCCTCACCATGTCCGATGGAGTAAAACGGGCAGGGCACCGGAGAGACGATTTCGTAGCGCACATGGAAGCCCCGGGCCCGTACCTGAACCACTTTTTTTCCGGGGACTAGGTTCTCCAGGATGGTGATGTTCTGGGCCGGCTCCCTGGGCCAAAAGGGCGGCACTGACTCCCACCCACTCCTGTCCACTTCTGGCCCAATCCACAGGCCTGCCCCTTCCCTAGGCTGCTGGAGCAAGTTAAGGCCGCTCCAGCAGCCCATACCCTTTCCCATACCCAACCCCTGCCACTGATATCCTGGGGCCAGGTCCTGCCTCCCCCACTGTTCCCAAGGTTGGGGAGCCTTACTGGAAGGAGACTTGACTGGAGGGACTAGGCAGAACCTTCACTGTCAGCATCCCCTGACAGTTTTGGCCCTGTCCAAAGGTCACTGAGATCTGCAACTGGAAGACCTGCGGTGCACACAGAACAGGAAGGGAACCACGGTATGTGTCCTTCTGTATGTCTGTGTCCACTCTCCCACTCAAGGAGCCCCAACACTAACCCTCCCCATGACCAGTCTCTCTGCTGACAGGTATACCTTTGAGCCCCATTCCTTTGGACCATGAATTGTGTTAGGATACAAATAGCCCAAGAGTGATATTTGAGTCATTCACAATATGAATTATCATCTTAGAGTTGGTAAGAGCTAGTCACCAAGAAGTGGAAGTTTTAAGGAAGGAATTTCTCTAACCTCCTCCAGACTGGACTGGCCACTTTACCCAGAACTTTCTCTTTCTGTGATTGCCCTAAATGCTTTCCTTTCTATTAGAGCAACTATGAGCTTCAAGAGACCCTTCTTCTTTCTAGATTCCAGATACCAGCACAGAACCAGGCCAAGGTAGGGACAGCCAGAGTGGGGCAGCAGGTTCAGGGTGTGGGCTTGGTCTGCAAGAAGCAGCATAATCGAGAATAACAAGAACAGACAAATCTCCAGGAGGCAGAGTGTCTATCCATTGCATGCCCAATCCATGGATACCCCCCAGAACCCAGGTCATGCTCACCTTTTGAGCCTGGCCTTTGAGGCCCTGGGCTGGCGCCTGCAGCCAGCCCTGCTGATTGATGGAGAAAGATCCAGGGAAGTGTGAAGGGTCCTGGGCACTGGTGATGCTCATCTGACAGGACAGAGATGCTGGAGGCCCCATCCGCCTCCTAGTGCTCCAAGCACCCCTGTCAACATCCTCCAACAACCTGACAGCCACCTTGCCCCACCCAACTCTCCTATTCTCCAGCCACTGGCCCTCACACCAGCCTGGGCTCCCCTCCTTCCATCTGACCCTAGGCCCTTATCCACAATCCTCTCTGCTTTTAAATTAATTATTTTGTTTTTAAACTACATTTCTTTTTTGGATCATAAGTGATACAGAATTGTCATGGAGAACTCAGAACACACAGGGGAACTTGAAAGAACTCAACTCCTGAGATGACCCTGTGGGAACAGCCAGGGTCACTGGAGGGTGGGCAGCATCATGGAGAGGTTCAGCTGTGCACTGCAGAGTGCTTAGGCAGGCAGGGGCTGCGGTTGGTCTCCCCATCTCCCTGCAACTATTCTCTGCCCCATGTGCTGGGCTCACCTGAGCTCCCTGGAGTTCCAGGCCCGGGAGCAGCAGAGTGTACAGCCGGGCCCCTGGTGCGACTGTCTCTGGCACCTCAATGATTTCCCCAGCTGACCAGAGGAGAGGTTAGGGAGGCTTTGTTCAGCTCATGCCTGCCCACCCCCTGCCTGCTGCCCCCAGCCTCACCTGGGCTGGCAAATCGGCCGGCGCACTGGACATGGCTGGGGTCCCGCTGCACATCCAAAAAGAGCGGCCCCTCAATCACTCGGATGCCACACTGGAATCGCAGCTGCAGTTTGTAGTGGTTTACTGCTAGAGCATCAAGCCGAACTGAGCTGCTGAGGGTTACCTATGGCAGGTGGGCAGGCCATGTGGGGCCTAGGCTCTCTGTTCCCCTATACCACCTTCAACTGGGAATTTCAGGTTCTCCCTGTGCCCTCACGGTCCCCAGCAGGGCCCAAGGCCATACCTTGCCCACATAGGAGGAGCCTTGCCTTCTGAGGCTGGGTGGGTTGAAGAAGGTGGTGGGTGGCTGCACATAAAGCAGCTCCAGGGTGGGTGTGGAGGAGGAGCAGTTGAAGGAGAAAGACTCAAGGACAGTGCCAGGGCCCAGGCTCTCAGAGATATTCATGAACCAGGGCAGGCTGTGGAGGTCTGTGAGGGGCAGGTGATTCAGGCTGGAGGTCCCCCGATGCTCACAGAACCACACACATGAGCATAGTCCTGCCCCTCTACTGCAGAGCCGGGTTACATCGTGGGGCCAAGTAGCCAAGGCCCTTCTCTGTCCCCCATATCTAAATGTGGGTGGGCTTATTTCACAGACTTGGTCGAGGAAGCAACCAAGATGAGAAATGAGGGTCAGAGGTTCATACCCTTGCCCTTTCCTGGCTCTCCCCCAGTCCCTGTCCTCCACAGTAGATCATCTAAGAAGGGCCAGAACTCCATTGTGGAGTTGCAGGTGAGAACTGGGGCTCCCCTACCCACCAGCTCCTCACCAGAGACACCCAGAGCGAGAAGGAGCATCGGGGGCCTGAATAGCTCCATGGTGGCCAGAAGATATGGACAGCACTCCAGAAGGTTAGATGTGTTTGTCAGGTACACCTGGTTGCCAGGTCAGTTGCTCAGACAAAGCTGGGCAGGCGGGACTCCTGGGCCAACCAGATTCTAGCCCCTCCCATCCCTGGTGACTGAGTTCTAGATCCCAGGCAGGCTCTGAGAGGCCCAGACAATCCCATTTCCCACTGTCCCCAACTCATTCATTACCACAACACAAGGGGACATGAAAGGAGGAGGATAAAGCTTCAGATGGGGAAACTGAGGCTTGGGGAAATCCTGATCACTTAGACCTTGGAGACAGAGCAAGCACAGTTCCCAGGAAAATTGGGCCCAAAATCTGTTACCCCACACACAGAGCCTGAACTCTAGCTGTCTCCTCTCTACCCTCATTAGAACATGATCTGCCTGTGAAATCTGAGGCCTACCATCAGCAAAATCTCTCAAAAGTTATCTACATTCAACAAGTAAAAGGAATCCTTGGGATAGAATAGAAATCAAAATAGTAGTTACCTCTGGGATTATCAACTAGAGGGGGTACAAGGTGGCCTTTTAGAGGTCTGGAGATGTTCTATATCTTGATCTGGGAGGCCAATGCACAAATTTCAACATTTATTGAGCTATACCTTTGAAAACCAAAGAACCAAACCCACTGCCATCTAGTCAATCCCAATCCCAGTGACCCTATAAGACAGAGTAGAACTGCCCCATAGGATTTCGAAGACCATACTGCCACATCTTTCTCCTGCTGAGCGGCTGCTGGGTTTGAACCACCAACCTTTTGTTTAGCAGCCAAGCGCTTAACCACTGTGCCACCAGGGCTCCTTGTACCGTTGAGATGTGTCCATTTGTTGTATTTACGTTACATGCCAACTTTTTTAAAAGTGGCTACACTTGTACTCCAGTTCCTCACCTCTCACTCTCTCCCCTAGTCAGATTTTCTCTCCTTCCACAAAATTCCCCTGGTCAGGTCCTCAGTGACCTGCACACTGCTGAATCCAGTGCAGTGGATTGTTCTCACTTCCTTGGGATTGATGATTCCTTAGGATTGTTTGACGTTTGCTCCTGTTGGCTTCCAAATCCCACTCTCTCTCTGGTTTCCTCCCACCTCCCTGGCCACTCCTGCCCAGCTCCTTTGCTGGTTCTGCTTCATCTTCGCAACCTCCTAACAGTGGAATGTTCCAGAACTCAGTCCTTCCTGCTGCCCTCCTCTGTCTACACTTATATCTTCCCATCTCATACAGGCCCATGGCCTTATCCAAGGGTCCAGTGCTGGCCTCTCTCCCAAACTCCAGAATCACACACCCCGAGGCCAACCCTGCACTCCCTCTTGGATGTCTAACAGGCATCTCAAATCCACAAATGATCATTTAATTTTTCTGTCCAGACTCACTCTTCTTCGGTCTTTCCCAGATCAGGTCATGGCAACTCCATCCAACCAGTCCTTCAGGACAGAAATCTAGGAGTCATGGTTGATGCCTTTCTTTTCCTATCCACATCCATGCATCAGCAAGGTTTGGTTTTAGGTCCAAAACATACCCCAAACTGACCCCTTTTGTGTACCTGCTCCTCTCAGATCCAGGCCAATCCCCTCCCTTGCCTGCATGAGGGCAGGAGCTTCCACTCTGATTACACAGTTGGTTCTACTACAGCGGCCAGCAATTCTTTAAAAAGGAGCCAGCCCAGGTCAGTCCCTGCTCAAAGTACCCCAGTGCTCCCCATCACACCTAGATCAAAACCCGCATTCCTCTCTACAGCTGCAGTGAGCCTGGTTTTGTTAACCTCTTCACTCTCCCCACCACACCACCACCAGTCACAGAGACCTGTTCTGTCCTGTCCACCTCCATTCCTGCCTCAGGCTCTTTACACTGGCTGGTGCCTCCACCTAGAATGCCCCTCTTTGGGTTTGCCCCATGATGGCTCACCCAGATCCCATCCTGAGTACCAACTCCTCAGAGAGCCCCCTCCCCAAGCTAGCCCAAGGCCCTCATTCTCCTGTCTGCTGATGTCTATTCTGTCTCCGGTTAAGACTGTACCCTTGAGCCTAGCCTCTCATCACAGAGCGGCCTGAAGGGGACCGACCTTGGCCATCCTGTCAGCTAAGTGGCACCCTTTCCCCCCCCCCCACTTCTCCCTCCCCCCCCGGGAATGACCCTCAGTCTCCACGTGGTGCCTCGCAGAGGGGCTGGTGCACCGGGGATGCAGTGGACCCGAATAGCGGCTGGACTCGCGGCCAGCTGCGTGCTCCCCACCAGGGGGCGACCCCGCCTAACTCGGCGCAGCCGGGGAGGACTGGGCTTGTCCCTGGCTGAGGACCTTCCCCTGCGCTGACGCAAGGATCCGCGTCCCCACCCCCCGCGCCCGAATCCCCAAGGAGCCAGGTCGCCTTCCCATCACTTCCACCGATTGTCGAGGTCCAGCGAAGCGGGTCCAGAGGGTCTGGCCCCGAGCTGGCCACAGCATGGCCGGGACCGACGACCCGGGATGCTCACTGCCCCACCAGGAGCGCACGTGGACGCCGCCGGGGAACTCGCACTCACGGGGCCTCCGTTGGAGGGACTGCTATTCTACCCTGGGACAGACGAAGAAGCTGAGGCTGTCGGTGGCGTTGTGGGGGGAGCGACTTACCCTGGGTCCCGCAGCGAACCCTGGGTTCGTTCCACCAATCAGGGCGTCGGGGATGGGATCCCGGCTCGGATCCCACCCGGCTTCCAACCACAGCCCCGCTTAACCCCCCACGCCCCCACT